TTTAAATCTGTGAGTTAGCAACTGAACCAATCAGATGAGTGTATGGGCCAGTGCAGCCAATGAAAATTATTTATGGAAAATTACAGCATGGCTCAAAAAGAATCAAATCCACTCTATAAATTAGATGTAGGATTTAATTATGGGCCAATCAAATGGGTGGATAAGAAACAGATTTATGTACATTTGTTTGTAGAACTGTCAATCAGATGTATCAGATAGATAATGGTGACCATTCAAATGGCAGTAAGCAGATGAGCACTCTTCAACATGACAATGAGTTACAGAGGATTAGTACCAATAAATTACAGTTTGTCTGTTAGTGACAAAAGCACAAATGTAACAACAGATCAAATGTCACATTACTGGAGTGTGTACTACTGCTCAGACAACAGTTCACTTCCTAAATACTGAGGATGGAAAGGTTGTTAGACCAAAAAGCTCCTGTTGAATGGAAAATATTAAAATACATAACAGACAGTCAGTGCCACTTAATGTGATGCAGGGTGGGGGATGCGTGTTTGTGTGTGAAGTGGCTGACAGACAGGCAAAAAGAGCAGGAGCGTGTCTTTGGAATGGAGACACAGCAGGACCAGAACTGCAACTGCAAAACACAGTGCATCTGCCTCAAAGGAAATAGTGCCCACAAATTGCAGTTTGATGCTGACAACCCGTTGACTGCTCTCTTATTGTGCACAGGAAATATGAGGGTTAGGCCAATTTCACAGAACCATTTGGAGAGGCAGCTACAGCCCTTTCTCTACACGGATCTAATGTTAATTGGCCATGCGATCATGTCTAAACGATGCAGGTTGAGGAAGCGAGGAATCACTGTGAATGTGAGACAGGGTGTTTCTAAAAAAAGGAGCATGCATGCTGTTTCCCTGGATAAATAGAGGGGAGATAGTGTCTGTATGACAAATCTTAAATGGTTTGCAAGCCCTGTCTACCCAGCCAGCTCCTGCTATATGTTAGCCTGCTCTCCAGTGTGACCAGGCAGAGGAAGGTTAATGGAATATGGATAGATGTGACAGAAAGATAGAAGATGAAAACGAACCTATTTTAGAGCACAGCAGTATATATTTTACATTATACGTATTTTATGTTTACATCAACATATAAAAGCAGAATATACTGAAATGAAGCAGATCCAGACTCACAGACATAAATGACTAATGCAAAACAACACAAATGTATCTTTGAATATCTTCAGACAGACATGAAAACATACAAACACATGGTGCGCCCAGAATAACAGTTGAAGGAGTGTGTCAGAATGCTAAATCTGAAGCTAGAAGTGATGGTTAGCTTAGCTTAGCATTAAGACTGGAGACAAGTGTTGCTAACTTGGTGACTTTCTCGCTAGATTAGCAACTTTCTTTCTAAAAAAGCTACTAGTGTCAAATTTAGCGACTTATTTAAACTTTTGTAGAATTTTGTACTTTATTCCTTCAAAATACTGTAGTGAGTTCGTTATTATTTGGCTGGAGATATCTACATCTACCTTTTAAATTGCTTACGCTTTTTTTAGTGACTATTGGAGCTAGTGCTCTGAAAGAGCTACCTTCATTGGAAAAAGACTTGACACTGCTGGAAACACGGGGAAACACCTAGCTTCAACGCTCATACACATCAACAGCACCTCTGAATACATTATAGCTAGCATAAAGACTGGAAGCAGCTATTCTGGATCACTCCAACATTCAAAAATACAACAGGAATAATTGGAGGTTAAACAACAGTGGTTTGATGGAAGAATACAGCAGAGATGGAAACAGGATGAACTGGACTGAACACATTATATCAAATAACAGGGCAGACGGAGAGCAGATGATGATTCAAAGCGACAGCAGAAGACACACTGTCACACACATTGAAGGAACACAAACACAACCAGGTGTCTGAGCCATGTCAATCCATGACATGCTGTGCACCTTTATCACAGTGGAATAAAGGAAGAAAGATTGTTTCAGTTTGTCAGCCTGTGTGTGTTACAGCAGCTGGCAGGGGACTCTGGGATACTGTTAAGGCAGGTGTACCTGGGAGTGTGAGAACAAGTTCACATAGCAGCATTAGGCAATGATAAACAATGACAATGCAGCATGTTGAACTCAATAGACGGAGGGAGATGAAAGGAAGTGGAAGAAAGATAATTAGAAGGTAGATGGATGAGGGAAGTCAGAATAGGTAAACAGAAAGACAAATTGAGAGATAGATAGTTGTTGTCTCTTCAATTAGCATAAAATGGTTACACCCTCTAAAAAACTGCAATGCAGAGGAGAGGTATTTGTGAGTCACATATGATTGGGTATGGTATAGGATTGCACTACATTAGCAAAATGAGGTGTGTGTTAACCATTTGAATGTTGGTGGTATCAATATTCCCTCTCCTACTTGTTAACAGTCCTCCCCTCTCCATCCATCCTAATCTCACCCCCCAATATGTCTCACCACAGCTGCGACACACTGTGCTGCCTTACATAGCACAGAAATGTGACTGAATCCAGTGTTTTCAGTACCCACTCAGTGACAGAGCATGCACTGATCTCCTGTTGGTTTTATCAGCCGCAGACACACAGACATTGTTGTTGCAGCTTTATGGGGATCTAAGGACCACATTCACAATGCTTCATAAAATCTAGTCTGCACTGCCTCAAGACCAACAGTGATTTCAAGAGAAATAAAAGCCCTTTATTCTCAGAGGATCTGCTTGGTCACAATATATTGTTAGATTTAAAAGGTAAAACTATTTAATTACTTTTTTCAATAAATTACAATTCATTTGCCATTTCCATGCTATTAGAGGAATTTGGCGTTGACCACCTTGTTGTACCTGTTTCAGAAATGCAGAGCCTGCAGATTTCAACAGAATGAAAACAAAGTCACCAGACTAGCAGGATTGTCTAGTGTGAGATCAAGACTACATCCACATTAGCTCACTAAATCTTTCGGCTTCCTGTCTACACTAAGCCAGTGTATTTCACACCTTAGAGGGATATCCTTGACATAATTCTCAGTACGTGTTCACAGCTAAGCTAATTAGTGTTAGCTAGCTAGTGTTAGCTTCCTGTGACTGGTTTAATGGAGGATGATAAGCTAACACTAATGGTTGTCTAGAAGTGTAGGATGTGAGACATACAGGACCGATCAATACAAAAATAAACACTCACACCTCCTCAGGAAAACTACTGACTTGTCTATGCTGCTGAAATACTTCACCTAGTTTTCGGTGCTTTTGATTTGAATATGGAATGGAAAAGTCAATAAAATTAATTTAGTTATTACAGACAAAAAGTTGAATAACCTTTAAACATGTGTTTGTTATGTAACTACAACAGTAAATCATAATAAGGGAATATATATAACAATGTGCACTGTACTTTTTGTCTTTTATTTATTTTAATTGTGGCAGTTGTGGAAATCTTTCATAGAGATCTGCTCAGAGATGGTTGTGGCCAGTGTGGCAGTTGCGATCTTCTTCTTACACTTCTACCCCACTCTGTGATCACTTACTGGTAGTAAGCTGTATTTATGATTATAATATTATTTTATGATTATTTTTTGTATTTAAGTAAGTAAAACATGTTGTTAGGATGTACAGCACATGGTTACTATTTGATTTACAGACCAAGCAGTGTCAAATTATTTGCTGATACAAGAATATGTCATATGAACACAGACCTTTCTTATGCTGCCTTGTTCATCCTACCTTTCCTCCACCAGGCTGGTACTTGATGTTGTCAATGGATCCGATCTTGGAGCGGACATTCTTAAGGTCAGGTGTTGGAGCGTTGATGGGCCGGGGGGTACGAGGAGCGCGTGGCACCGGCGGCTTCTTCTCCATTGGGGTCTGCTTGGGCACAGGGGGTTTGGTGATGACCCGGCGGCGGTGAGAGGAGCTGGCTTCACCGTTAGTGGAGGCAGCCGGAGTAGCAGGAGTGGTGGTGGAGGCAGGGCGAGGACGGGCTGCAGAGGAAGGAAAAAACAGTGACAGAAATGAAGTATTGATTTCTGGGAAAATGTGAAAGCTGAAAAGTAAACACCAGCCAAACAACCTTGTAAGTGAAGTAATGACTCAGTGGACTTTTAAACAACATGCCCATGTTTTTCATGAACAGTGAACTGAACGTATCCATTTGCAACTAATGAACGAGAGTGTTGTTACCTCACACAAGACTTTACGATGCTGTGTTATGGGTTTATTACCCCCAGCATGCCACCACGGCACCATGGCAGCTAGTGCAACTGGAATTACAGACGCAACTACCGGTACTGCTGAAGGCAGTTCATATGGGTATTTGTAGGACCTTTATGAACAAATCAGAACAGTACAATATCACATTTTTATGTAAAATGTGCCCACCAGGGGTTCATCTGCGTCAACTGAACATTGAGCTAGCTCTAGTGACACAAAATATTCTCACTTTTTTGTGTTTATTAGCTACAAGTCTACTTTTCATGTTTTTCTAATTTATTTAAAGATATATATATATATATATTTTCTTATTGTTTTACTAATTTGTAGATACATCAATTTACGCTGGCTTTGTAAACATCAGTTTCCCAATAAAGCCCTTTTGAATTAAACTGAACTGGATTGGAAAGAAGAGGAGCTCAGTATTCATCATTGAAAAAGATCATGCTTTAATGTAATGTAACACATCAGACATGATATGGTTCTTTTATATAATGGGGCAGTAAAAGTAACACTCCGTTTATTGTCCCCTAAAGCCAGGCAGACACTGTATGGATTAAGCCATAACCCCAAATTGATAGGCCCAATCTAATTTTAGAATCAGGGAAAATATGAGCCAGATCAGCTGTTGTTTGACGTGCAGTTTGAGGGGGGTCACGATGCCTAATTAAGTGCCTGAATGATTAACAGTCTGGTTGTCAGACGATCTAATGGGTTTCTGGCATGGCAGAAATTTTGGTCAGCTGGAGTTTGAGCAGTTCAGTAGTCACATTTCCCAACATGGCTGCTGCCAAAAGATCCATTATTCACTGAACTGAGTCAGTTTGAATATTACTGGGATAGTATTTTACTGGTTGTGACAAGAACTTCTTTCTTACTGCACGTTCATAGTAGAATTGTAAGTAATAATGCTGGCTTTTTCTCTTTTTGTCACCAGCACTGTTAAAGAGACAGTCATCTCGTTTGAATAAACTTGATTGAAATTGAGAAAATCATGCTGGGGTTGCTCCACTGCGTCAGTGCAGCCAGTCCATTTATCCGTACAGTGTGAGAATAAACATTGTAGGTTCTGCCCATAAAACCACGTATAGGTTTCTATCCATAACTTTTATTTTATTCTAGTGACATTTAGAATTCCAGGAGAACAACACTGAAACGTGTCGTCACTGACTGTCCATCTTTCTCTCAGTTTGTTACCTGTAGTCTTGGGTTTCTTGGGCTCCCCCATCTTGTTATCAGTCTTGTCATTCTTGTTCGCTGAAAGCAGGAAACATAGAAACACAAGCTTAAAAACACCAGACTGACACGTAACCCTGGTAGCGTAGTGTACCCGGCCAAAATGTTGTTTTGCAGTCTGAAATACAGAGCAGCCACATGTTAAGACTATAAACCAAGTCGATGAGTTATTTGTTTAGATCAAATCTACAGTATGTATCAGTACCTGCTTTTGTGAACTTTACTAGCAACATAACAGAAGAAGTTCCACCAATTTGTTGATACAATAATACAGGTTTTTATTGGTTTTGGGCTCTCTTAGCTCCTAGTATTGATTTTAGATTGATTGATTTTAGATTGATTGATTTTCTACAGCAGATTTAAAGTTTATTTCTTTCTTAGCACCCTCATCAACATTGTTTTCTGCAGCAGCAGTTGGCCGTATACTAAACCCCCTACAGCTACAATTAATAATTATTTTCAATAAGTTGTTTGGTCCAAAAACCAAATGTCTTGTTTTGTCGACAACTCAAACACATTCAGTTGCTGTCATAGAGAAAGCGGAAAAACATTTGAGAAGCCTAAATCAGAGAATTTGGAATTTCTCAAAACAATTAATAGTTGACAATTTATTTAATATTTGTTGTAGTTTTCACAAATTTCTCCTACACGCATTGAAGGCTGAGCTGCTAGATGCCACTAACTCTTACACACTGGTCCTTTAAGGGCAATAGGTGACGTGAGTCATTTTACTGTTTATGGAGGTTTTGGCATGTTGATAACATTGTGCTGTAAGTAATGCTGCCATCATGTGGGAGAAGCATTATGAAATCTGACTAAACTGCCATCAGAGTTCACTCATGCAACTAAAGTGAAATATGCACCTTGCAGCACATAACAGCCATCACTGTTAACGGAGTGAATGAATCATATTCTCTGAGGCTGCTGAGCTGAGGTGCACAAAAAGCAGAGAGCCCGTTTGTCTAATGTTGCTTGGACTGAGTCATAGTTCCCTCGCTCAGAGAGGTGAGATACTGTTTGCGATGCGCAGATAAAAATACCAGTCTGCTGTCTTCAAAAGCCTGCTCTTGAACCTGATTAAGTGAAACATATGGCAGCAATTCAGTTAGCTTGTTGCCTGGAGTGGTGCCAGTTGACATTGTGAGTCACTTTTCCAGCTACAGTAGCGGGTTCAGGCCCTGTTGGAGGTCATGTTGCACTGGCAACACTATGAACTAGCCAAAGAGTCTGTGACAATACTGTTCATATCACACAATCAGGGACAGGGGACAGACACTGTAGATATAATATAAATGATGATACTGTACAAGCTGTGTGTGTGTGTGTGTGTGTGTGTGTGTGTGTGTAAGTACCAGCAGTTTTACTTGCAGCAGTCGCAGAAGAGCCATTCTTATTGGCAGCTGCACGGGGAGTGGGCGTGGCCTTTGGCACAGATGGGCGTTTCTCAGCCGTCCCATTTTCTGGAGTCTGGAAGCAGCAGAGGAGAGATGAGCTGTGGGTGTGTGAGAGTTTATGTGTATGTCTGCACATACAGTAGGTTTGTGGTTACTGCTGCGTGCATAAAGGCTATTTTATCCTGTTTTCCGGTGTTATCTGCCAATCATGCAGACTTGACGTCAGCAGAGAATAACAGCAAAGAGAGGAAAGAAGGTGAAGACAGACTTATGACAAACAGGAGTGGAGGAAGGATGGAGGACTAAGGTCTCATTGTCAGATTTAAAAAAATCATAAAGTAAACTGAGATACAGTCACTGCAGACAAGTGCAAACATAGGCAGCAACTACCTCCCTAGATCAAGGTAGCTGCAGAATTCAGGGCAGGATGGGAAATGCCTGGATCACCCTTGATCTAAGAGATGATGACAACGGACCTTTCATTTTTTGATTGGAGAGATTTTGATTTTATTAATGTGACTTTGCGCTCTGTTCTGTGGTTGATGGTGACTTTTATCAGCAAGAGAAGCTGGATTATTTCAGCTTTTATTACAGGTAGTTCTCATAGATGGCACAAAATCGATGACTGTTCTAGTCTACAACTGAAGTAGCAAGTGACACACAAAACGTTTGGTAGGTGGAATGTGAGGATTCCTAAAATAACATCTGTACAGATGTTAAGGCCTGACAGTCAGAAAATCAGATCAGTAATGAAAATGATTGTCCTGTTTTCTACTTTCACCACTGTTTTGACTATTGATTCATGTTGTCAGTTCCATTAGTTTTTGAGCAACTGCCCCAGCAATCATGTCTGGACAGCCTATTTATATACAAAACTCACATAATGTTTGCTTTACATTCTTTTTTTTCTTTTAATATATATTTTTTTAAGTTTAAGTTTTGGGGCTTTTTATTGCCTTTATGATAGTGACAGCTGAAGATAGACAGGAAAGGGGGACAGAGAGAGTGGGGATGACACGCAGCAAAGGGCTGCAAGTCGGATTTGAACCCTGGGCCGCTGCAGGAAACGCTCAGCCTCGGTAGATGGGTCGCCAGCTCTACCCACTGAGCTAACTGGACGCCCGTCTGCATTACATTCTTCTTTTTTTTTTTTCTCGCCTCTCTCCCCGCTCTTTCCTTTCTTTCGTTCTTTATTATTATTTCTCTATTCATTTATTTATTGTCTTTTTCTTTTACTTATTCCTGCCACATACATTCCTCTTTCTATTTTGCTCAGCTAATGCACCACTTTCCCTTGTTGCTCCTCAACACTTACACATTCCCAGTGTTGGATCAATAAAAGCCTATCTTATCTTATCTCTTATTGTACATTGTTAACAGATATTAGATGCAGACTCTGTGACCTGCATTTATTTTATAAAAGTTGTTATATGTTATGTTTGAAAAGGGAGAGAATCAGTGCCACCGGTAAATTATCCCAACTGCTGAGACGAGACTTTTCTCACTGGGGATGATGAGCTAGCCGGTCCTCACATTTCTCCAAATCAGAGCAAATATTCAATAGGCATTATTTGGACAAGATGACAACGTCACGATATAGTGGAGTTATGGTGTCACCCTCTGCCTGTATTGCTATTGTAGCCTCTCTGTGGTTTGTTTTCCATTTCCATTCACATCTGTGAATTAAGGATTTATTTCAACCAAAGCAGAGTTGGTGATTGTTGGAACAGTGGGAAGACTAACAAAGACAGTTTCGGTGAGTTTTATTTTGTTTTTGTCCACTTTGAATAAAGATATAATGATATGCGAAGTAAAATTACTCTTTTTGTCTATGGAGTGTTTCTGGTCAAACAAAAGGTATATCTCTGTAGAGATCCTTTTCTTAATGTTCTCGGACACTTAGAACATTCTGAGCCTGTCAGTGGCAAAAACAAAGACTTTTAGTGGATGTAATTTGTTGAGCGCATTTGTCCCCAAGGACTAGCTAATGTTACACAAAAGCCATAGCAACCCGTTTTGCTGTAATTTTTTTATCTAATTCGGCAAATTAAGGGTTTATTATGACCAAACAAGCATTGGTAGATTTTTGGAAAAACTGTGGACTTTTGATTTGTTTTATTTGGTTTCTGTCCAGTTTGAAAAGTGTTCTCAGATTATTTGATGATTAAAATGACTGGTCTTGTCAATGGAGTCTGGTTAGCTGTAGTGCCCATTGTTTGGGTATGAGATGCTGGTGCTCTTGTGCGACATAGAGTGGAAAATCAATTTTGTATAAATAACCTTAAAAATACCAATACATGATTCGGTTACAAAACAACAATTGACGGGATGAATGTAAACACTTATCAGCTCAGCTCATATGCTTCAGCATAGCCTGTGGTTGATTTGAAACCAGAAGTGCATGCTGGGATACATATCTACTCAAATTCCACACAAGTCAGCTCCCAAAGTATTCTCGATTAAACAAGGAGGAGCAAGAATGCTTCAGGGACTCTAAATGCTAAAGTTGGATGCTATATGTGTAACATTGGTTTTGGATATGATAGATGGGGTTTCACAAGTCCATGAGAACACAAGTACAGACAGTACATCCAATTTGCAAGAAGAAATATATCTGTCCATGTGGATTATACTCACCTTGGCAGCTTTGGCCGAGCCAGTTGCTGCTGGTGGCCGCTTGGCGGCAGTGGGTGTGGTCGCCTTGGGTACAGGGCTTTTTTTATTGGCTGAGGTGGGGGAGGGGCGTTTGGCTGAGGTGGCCTCGCCATTGGTGGAGAGGGTGGATGGGCGGGATTTAGCTGAGTTTGGTTTAGCTGAACCCACATCAGGCTGGTGATAATGGAATTGAAAGAAGCCACAATAAGAGTGAAAAAAGGGAGAAGGCAAGGAATGAAATAAAACGGACAGATAGAGAAAGAAAAAGCAATCACTGATTGCAATGGCCACGTGATATGGCAGCACAGCCAGCAACCGTATGACAATCATAAAATAAATTCTTAAATTAAAATTGAAATTTATAGCCACTTCAGAGAGCTCATGAGCAGTAAATCATAAAATTAACCTCAAATCTTATGAAATGAGCAGCATTCCAAAAGTAGCACATGATATGAAAATCAAGTCTCACATTCATACACAACACACAGCACACGTACACAGACACTCAGTGATGGACATACTATTTAGCACTTCTTAACACATATCAAAGGCCCAGGCGGTGCTGAACGCTTGGTGACATAGATTATATTGATTCTAATTAGATTTTGTGTGGCCTGTCCTCCTTCCAGGTCTCCACGGTGGAGGTGGGGTTGTGTGACTCAGGTCGTACCTATCTGGCAACACCCAAAACTGCTCAACGTTGTCCTTGATTCATACTCTTCACGTATATCTGTATTTTTGTAATCAAAATTTGTTGTTCTATTCTGTACACATGACATCTATTGCATGTCTGTCCATCCTGGGAGAGGGATCCATCCTCCCTTGCTCTTTCTAAGGTTTATTATTTTTTTTTTTTCACCAGTAAAGGTTATTTTTGGGGAGGCTGTCCTTTGAGGACAAGAACTGAAGGTCTAAGGACAGCGGGTGTTAAATGCTGCACAGATTGTAAAGCCCCTTGAGGCACTGTGATTTGTTATTCTGGGCTATATGAATAAAATTGACTTGACTTGATTTTTACTTACAGACTTTTTATACATATTTGTATGAGTATTGTTGGAGGGATGAACTGCAAATGATTGCTTCACTGTAACTGCTCTGTACAATAGAACCTGAACTTGTAGCGTCACAGGGCTACTTGGTGAACTACTTTAGCTGTGCGTGTGCTCTTCATACTATTAGAATTTTTTAGAATATTAGAATTTTTTGAAAAATCACAATATATCACCTTGTTTACAGTATCATAATATATCACAATATATTGAACTATAACCTCGTATCGTGATACATAGTGTATTGCCAAATTCTTGTCAGCCCTAGTCAGTTGCAGCCCTAAATAAAAGTTAATGGTACAACAGCCAACAAGCAATGATAGCTTTCTCCATTTTGGACTCTGACTTTCCATTTCCTGTGGTGGTTTGCTATTGGTCAAATTTGCATGTCACCAAAATTGAACATGACATTATACATTTGCACCCCCCCATAAGCAAATTCTCTGATTGCTACCACATAAATTTAAAATTTCATTTGAAATGCCAGTGTCAACTGGCAGTGAGACATACACACAGACACAGACACAGACACAGACACACACAGACACACACACACACACACACACACACACACACACACACACACACACACAGAAGGTGGAAGCAGCAGAAGCAGTGCACTGACTGAAGTGGATGATGTTTATGTAATTTTTGCAATCAGCCTGAGCATCCGTGTGTAAGTGTGTGTGTGTGTATGTATGTATTTGTTTGTCTTGCTCAAGGACACTGTAGCAGGGTGTTGTTGGACGCACCGGCTGTGGCAGAGTTCAAAGCTGTAACCTTTGGGTGACGGGGCTGTTTCTGTAACCACTGGATAGTCTGCCACTTTGGGTGTGTGAATCTGTTTGCAGGAAATGTGTGTGGGAAGCAGTAGTGTGTGTGTGTGTGTGTGTGTGTGTGTGTGTGTGTGTGTGTGACCCACCTTGCTCTTGCTGTCAGGGCTTGGCAGAGTCTTGCTACCGTTGCCTGTTGGAGACTTGGCTGTCCCTTTCCCCCCCTTCTCCTCCTTCTTCTCAGCAGGCTTCTTTTCCTCTTCCTTCTTTTCGTCTTTGTTGGTCTTCTCCGGCTTGTCCACCTTCTCCGCCTTCTCGTTGGCCTTGTTGTTTTTCTCCGCGTTCATCTTCTCCATCTTTTCATCATCTTTGACAATCTTCTCGGACTTCTGGTTCTTGTCTGGACCGTTGTCCTTCTTCTGCTGCTCCTCTTTCTCTTTCTTGTCAAAGGCATCGACCTTGTCGGTCTTGCTGGACATCATGTCTGTCTTCTCCTGCTTGTCCTTGTTGTCAGATTTCACTGTGAGAGAAAGAATGCCATTGTCAGAATCAAAGCTTATTTGACCCAAATAATTTAATGTTTACATAAAAAAAACATATGAAAGTATTCAAGGTTGTCAGCAAATAAACCATGACGGAACAATGAAAATATATTCTAACAGGTCCATTCACAGGGGTCATTATAAAGACCAGGAGTTTGACTAATATTTAAAAAGTATGTCCAGGGGGGAATATTTTAATTTCACTATTACTCCATTGACTACACGTTAGTCCAATGTATATGAATGACTATTCTGCTCATAACCTTCACACTCTCCACTGTTAATCTGCCACACTACAGTACAGACAGTTATGGAATAAACTAGGGCTACAAATACTCACAGACGGCCCGACATTGGCCCGATCTTTTAGGGCCTTTAGACAAAAACACTACGAGGCTAAGGTTCGGGGAAAGATGTGGTCATGGTCCAAAGAGACCAGCTTTGAATGTTAGTAGGAGATGGGATACCAACAGCTTTACCTTTTCATCTGAGAGACACTGTCATTATTTGACATTGTTCATATGTAATCAGCACTGCAGCCAAATTGTACAAACTGACTCTTAAATACCTGACAAACATTTCTTATAAGTCACTTCTGTGGACAGTGTAAATATACTATAGCTCTAATGTGTAGGAATGCTTTCACCGACATGAAATAATTAGCTGATTGCAAGGGAACTTAAGTTATTTATAGATATGACTGTCCATGTGGGTTCTGTTATGTAGGTCGCAGCAGCAGATGATTCTGGGTCTGGTTGGTAAACAGGCCAAGCCCAGTGATTCCATTGCTCTAGATTATGCAAGTGCCCACAATGGTGACTCTGTGCCTTTAAAATCCATGTCAGTGAGGTCATATCCAGTCCTGATAGAGGAGGCCAACAGACTGTTTTGTAAGTATATCCTGGCCTTTGTGATAATGCTGACCTGTCACCACTTTTAACTGGATGATTCCTCTTTCTTTGAACTATACATTGATATACAGCTGTTTTATTGCCCTTTTATGTTTTTTGTAAAGCACTTGGAATTACCTTGTTGTAATGAAATCTCTGTCTGTCTGTGTGTGTGTGTGTGTCCATGTGTGTGTGTGTGTGTGTGTGTGTGTGTGTGTGTGGCTCAAATATCTCTGCAGATCAGGATCAGACTGACCTGAGAGTTTCAACATGGCTGCTGTGTGGTTTAAGGGTGTGCAACGTCGGCTTTGTTTGGACTATAAAGATACCGCTAATAAATGATTTCATAAATTATTTCCGAATTCCGCTAGCATTGTCAACGACATCCACCATAGCCATGTGCGCACCAGAGCCAATCACTGCAGAGCCCAAACATCCTGGAAAGTGAAAGTAAACTGATGTCTCGGTCCGGGGGGCTGGCGGTCGCGGTGATTTTTGATCACAAACACTCCGTGAGTTACTACGTTACTGTTGTTTGGTCCTGTAACGTTGCTTTGTGGTACATTTCTCTGTATTAAGTGTAGTGAGAGACCTGCAGTTATCAGACTGTCTGACCGACATGCCCTCCCTCCGCGCCATCGGCTTATCCGTTCACACTATTTTTCACGCTCTCTCTCTCTCTCTTTCTCTCCCTGATGTATGCTAGCCTATATTACAGGGCTAAATAATATTCATTCATTTACTAGGCTATGCTACAAGTTAGTCTGTTTATGCTGCCAGGTTTCATCTCATTTCAGATGTAGTTCACTTTCTTCTTTCAGAATTGATATGCGCTGACCATGAGGTGTGGTACTTTCACATTAGTGGAATGGGGTTCATCTCCCTACAGTGTCCTTGCTAAAAGACAAATTATATGAAAACACAATAAATATAAATCTACACATTTCACAACAAACCTAAATGTCCCTGACGTCCCACCTTCAAACACAACCTCATTTGGCCATCCATGAAAAAGCTATTTAACCTCCCACTTTCTATAGCAATACATACTTTCATACGGGCACTGCACTAGTTAATACAATGAAAGTTGAAGTTGTTCTCTTATTTTGCACAGACAGTGTTTACATTTGGAAAGCAATGTTGCATTTATGTATGCATCCAGTGGGGCATCACAATAAAATTAGGCATAGGCCTAATGTGTTAATTCCACAATAGGAGATATGTTATGTTGTTACCTAACAGTTTTGGTGTAAAAAGCCTGCATATATCGGTATTGGGTGATATTAGTATCGGAAATTGAGAGTTGGACAATATTGGAATATCGGATATCGGCAGAAAAGCCAATATCGAGCATCCCTAGTTGTGATGAAGTAGGGTACTGGCTTTTCGGTCCAATTCAACCACTGGTACTGGCCCATTTCATGCACTGTGTGTAACTATGAAAAAGCTAAAGCATGTTCAGCATTCAGTCATTCATTTGGAGTTTGGTTATCCCCCTGCGGTCCTGTTCTCACTGTACGTCTAGCGCTATTGTTTTGGGGTTTTTTGGGCTTTTATTGCCTTTATGATAGTGACAGCTAAGAATAGACAGGAAAGGGGGATAGAGAGAGTGGGGACGACATGCAGTGAAGGTCTGCAGGTCGGATCCGAACCCTGGGCCGCTGCAGCAAGGACTCAGCCTCAGTACATGGGTCGCCAGCTCTACCCACTAAGCTAACCGGGCGCCCTAGCGCTATTGTTTTGTTGTGCTTTATCAAGCTGTAATGGAGTCAGTTCCAGCCTAAGCTGATGTTAATGCAAACTCATCACTTGCTGCAGCTGCTTCACAAAGCCTCTCAGTGACACCTACTTGTTTCATGAATTTTAATGTCCTCGATTCCAAGATCCTTGCAGTGGATCAGCTTTTTTGGTCCTGTCTGATTTTTGTGTCTGACAGAGAAAATATGCATCGATATAATCCATTTAAGCAGTGAAGGAACTAAATAGAGGTCTAAAAAAAATGTAACACTAGTGTCGTAAACGTAGAAAGTAGAGCTATGATGTTGGATGTTACAGGGACTTTTTTTCCTCACACTTTATGCATAGGATTGTGTGTTCTTTATACTTTGGCAGTTTTCCTAAAATTGGATTCACAAAAAAACCTGCAATGTACCACCTTGCTTATATCGCAGTATTGGAGTAGTATTGCAATATATTGAACTAAAACCCCTGTATCGTGATACGCATCATATCTCCCTGTTCTTGCTATGTCAAACCGTGTTGTCATATTCTCAGATCAGCAGTACAACGTTATCATAATCAGTAGCAACAATGGCCAAAATAATGTTACTTAACTACTAAGTTGTAATAAACAAAATTATTCTTTAACATGGCAGGTATTTGTTTTGTGCACTGGACATGGGAAAATGATATACTAGTATATTTCTGCCTATTTCAGGAAGTCAAAATCAATAAAACCTTTGGAAATTGACAAAATAATAATGTTCAACAACAACAACAACAACAACAACAACATGGATTTGACCAGGGGAGACCAAGAGTGAAAGGCTGAAAGCAACACGTAGACTGCACCAATTTTGTGTGATACTCCTACAAAAACACATACACTGTCTGAATAATCTGAAAGCCGCTATCCACGCTTTAAAATGATATGACTCTTTAGCTTCAACACAAACTAGTGGCTTTACTGCTCAGGCTACAGCAGTTTTCACCACTGTATCACTCCACCCTGCAACACCAGCAATATGACTCATCCAACATGAAACTGCTGGCTGAGAACACAGAGGATCCATCTAATACCACGCTACAATACACAGCTGCTGGCAACCAGCTGTGTGTGTGTGTGTATGTGTGTGTTTGTGACAGAGAGAGAAACAGAGAGAGAGTTGACTGCCACGTAAATCAGGGCATGACTAACGTACACAGACATGGAGCTGGTGCAAGGATATTTTACTGCAGGCGGCCTTCACAACACACACACACACACACACACACACACACACACACACACTCACTCACTCACATGCACACATAAACCCAGTCTGAGGATTGACCGCTATAGTTTCTATTTTCTAGCATGATAGCTATCAAGCTTTGACACTGACAGACAGGCTAATCAATAGACACACTGAAAGACACACATACACACATTACACAATAAACACAAACTGATTTTGTGTTCAGTGACATTTCTGCAGTGTTTGTGTGAGAAAAGCTTTACTTTTTGTAAAGCCCTCTTTCTGTAATAATGAGGAATGTTTTAATTAATGCATATTACATTTGACTCATTCTTCATTCAGCATTTGCTGCTGTTAATGTTTGCAAATGGTGTAAACACATTGTAATTCAAATAATGATAAAACTTTATTTGTATAGCTCTTTTCTTAAAGCTAGAAGAGTGTTAACCAATATTTGACACTATTTTGCAATAGCAATTCATTATTGCTCTTCTGTTACATTTCTGACAAAGTCGCTCCTCAAAGAGTAACTGCTGTAGTCTTAAACAACACTGTTATCTCTGCTAAAGCACAGCTGTCACCAGATAAACCAAGACTGTAAACTTAAGAATTATAACTTTAAAGTCAGGTGAGTGACTGAAACCAGAGTGAAGTGTGCTACAGATTCAACTACACCTTCAGGTAAATCAGCACGAGATAAAAATAAACTAATTCCTGAGATCAAAACAAGGATAAGACACACATTATTGTTCCAACATGTATATATGTCTTAATACATGTCTCAAGGTGATCTTTAACAATAATTGTTTAATACATTTTCAAATATGTGTTATACAGGGGCACACAATTATCTGTGTCCACAATTCCTTTGCTTGAAGCAAGCAGTAGAAGATCTGAAACTGCGACACTGCGAGCCCCTCCCTCACCTGCTGCACCTGTTCACCTTCCCTCTCCTGCAACCGCATATTCAACAACTGCCAACAAGCTTTAAGCCTATGTTATCAGTTCTGTTCTGTTTTTCTGTGTTTGGTAATTTGTTGTCGCCTCACCCCCGTACAGCAGAGACAACATTATAGGAAGGACAGCACTGGTTCCAACATAAAGACTGCAGGTAGCTCAGCCCATCTGTCT